CTGCGGCTGTCACCGGCTTCCCTCTGGCACCTGGGACCTGGCCTTCCCTCTGGCCACTGGCAGGCACCCAGGACCCAGGCTTCCCTCGCTGTGAACCTGAGGAGGGGCGGTGAAGGATTGAAGAAAAGACAAACAAGAGAATACAGCTGGGGCTCAGTGGACCTCCTGTGCCTGGATGAGGACACAAAAGACCCAGCCTGCAAGCTGACACTTTATTTGATAGTCTGATTAAAACAAGGGTAGATTAACATGTATACAAATGTTCTTGTTTTGGCAACACTTGCTGCATCTCCCACAGCCCATTAGCTACTTAGGAAGGAATTGGGGGGGGGGGGGGAGGGCGCTACAAGGTCAGGCTTAATTATGCTAGGAGAGCTCTGCCCTCCAGGCTGGGACTTGTTTGTGACCCTGCCACAGGTCAGCCCCCTAATGAGGATCGAGTCCGCAACCTGGGTATGTGTCCGTGACCAAATCAAACCCAGGACCCTTCAGTCTGCAGGCTGATGCTCTAGCCACTGAGCAAAACTGGATAGGGCTTTCTCACTGTTTTTACTGCTCTCCCCCTTTTCTCCTGTAGTCAGTTGGTCTTTTTTTTTTTTTTAATTGGGAGAGAGAGAGAGAGAAGAGAGAGAGAGAGAAAATAGATTTACAAATTTGTTCTTCTATTTATTTATGCATTTGTTGGTTGTTTCTATTCCCAGTTGTGCCCTGACTTGGGATAGAACCCACAATCTGGGCATATCAGGATGACACTCTAAGCAACTGAGCTACCCAGCCAGGGACATAACATTTTTTTTAATTAAACTTTTTATTTTGAGATCATGTAGGTTCACACGTGGTTCAAAGAAATAATGTATAGACATTCAGTACACCCTTTGCTCATTCCTAAATGATTTCATGAACTGTACAAATTGCACAATAAAAATCACAGGGCTGTGGAGTAAAAATGATTTGCAGCACACATTAAAAACTTTACCAGTGACATAAAAAAGAGATAAAAAACTAATAAAAATGGTAGCAGTTTTACATATGTTAGATGGTCAAGAATAGCATAAATACTATGATAAATAGACCTCTTTACCTTGAAAAAGACCTGAAGTTTGCTGATGGAATGGGTGACGGAAAGGTTATAGCTGTGAGTTATTGTGTGATGGTGGAAGGAGGGGTATCCGAAATCAGACAGAAATTTATAACACAGATGCAGAGTGTTGGTCTCTAAGCACACAGTGAACTGAGGTCAGTGCTAGATGTTTGGGGAAGGTGCATGTGTGTATTTTGTGTATTTCTACATTGATTGGTTCAGGTAGATGCAGTTTTCTGTATTTATCCAGTGATTCTCAGAGATGAAACAATGTATAAGAGGACACATAATTTACGTATGTTCAAATTGTTTCTTAATATATCTATTGTGTTGGAACAAATTTATATTTTCCAAACAAGTATTATAGTGGAATTCATTGTACATTTTTGTTGTTTCTTATTTTGTTAGTTCAACTTGGTTGGGCTCTTTTTTCTTAGCACCATTTCTGTCTAATTGTTGCACTGTTTTTGCCACAGAACTTCTTCAATGTGGCTAGGCCATAGGCATGCTTTTGAAGACATGGGTCATACTAGCAGCCCCTTCAGAAAGGGAAAAGTCAATTTCAAAGTATTTAATTCTTTTCAGTCTTCTTTCCATAGATTGTGTGCACTCATGATTTTTATTTTGATAGCAATATAGAGATCAAGACTTTTCTATACTTTTGTTCTAGCTAAGTCACAGTCACAGTAGGGACAACCTTCTTTAAAAGAAAATGTTGCATCAGTTCTTCATCTGAGTGTCACTGAAAATAAAACTTGCAGATGCACACAGGATCTTGAGTAAAAATATTACATGTTTTCTATCCCCTTACTTATTATTCAATATCTAGAGGCCCAGTGCATGAATTCATGCACACTGAAAGGAAATTAATTACAAGAAATATTTTAGAGGCTGAGGAGAGACCACAGGAGGGCTCCAGTCGTGTCCCGCCCATCCTGCCCAATCCCGATCAGCTGGACCCTAGCAGCACGTTAACCTACTGGTTAGAGCACCTGCCCCCTGGTGGTCAGTGCACATCATAGTGACTAGTCTAGTGGTCGACTGAGTGGTCAATCGATCGGTCACACACTTAGCATATTAGGCTTTTATATAGATAGATAATATACTGTTACATAAGTGTAATATTACTTCTAATATACTAGAGGCCCAGTGAATGAAATTTGTGCACTTGGGGGTGTCCCTCAGCCCAGCCTGTGCCCTCTCACAGTCTGGGAGCCCTTAGGGGATGTCGAACTGATAGCTTAGGCCTGGACGGGGAGAAGGTCTAAGCCAGCAGTCAGACATCCTTAGTGCTGCCACTGTGCTCACCAGCCATGAGCCTGGCTCAGGTCTTCTGGCTCAGGTCTTCCAGTCATTCCACCGTTAGGTCGATTTGCATATTAGCCTTTTATTATATAGGATCTTGTATATAACTAGAGGCCTGGTGCATAAAATTCATACCCTGGGGAGGGGAACCCCTTAGGGGATGTCTGCCTGCCAACTTAGGCCTGCTCTGTGGAGATCAGGCAGGCAGACATCCCTCTCAGAGTCCGGGACCCCTTGCTCCTTACTGCCTGCCTGCTCACTTCTCCTTACCACTTGGCTCACTGAACCTTAGCACTTCCACTTCCATGGAGGCAGGAGAGACTCCCACCACCACCTCTGTGCTTGCCAGCCATGAGCCCGGCTTCTGGCTGGGCAGCGCTCCTCCTGTGGAAGTGCACTGACCACCAGGGGGCAGTTCCTGCATTGAGTGTCTGCCCCTTGGTGGCCAGTACACATCATAGTGACCAGTTGTTCTGCTTGTTTGCTCTAATGGTTGCTTAGGCTTTTACTATATAGATTTATACCATAATAGCGGCCACTTATTAAATGTTTAGCATATGCCAGTGTTTTGTGTGAAGCCATGTATAATCTCTCTATATAAAACCCTAATTGACCGGTCAACCAATCGACCGGTTGACCGATCGACCAGTTGTTATGACACACACTGACCACCAGGGGGAAGATTCTCAATGCCAGAGCTGCCCTCGGGTGGTCAGTGCACTCACACAGTAGGAGTGCCACTCAGCTGACCGATAGGTGCCAGACACTGGGCTCACAGCTGGCGAGTGCAGCTGCAGCGGTGCAAGCCTCTCCCACCTCTGCAGCAGCACTATCGAGCTACTACAGCCCTCTGGGGCAGTGGTCAGCAAACTCATTAGTCAACAGAGCCAAATATCAACAGTACAACAATTGAAATTTCTTTTGCGAGCCAAATTTTTTAAACTTAAACTATATAGGTAGGTACATTGTTATTAACTTAATTAGGGTACTCCTAAGGCTTAGGAAGAGCCACACTCAAGGGGCCAAAGAGCCGCATGTGGCTCACGAGCCCCAGTTTGCTGACCACAGCTCTGGGGGAAGTAGGACTGCCAGTTTTGGCCAATCCCCACAGGCCAGGGCCTCTAGTAAATATATAATACCTTTCAGTTCCAATGCCTCTGTTAACCTGTTTGAAAATCACTGATTTACCTTTATATTCTAACTAGGAGCCCAGTCCATGGATTCATGCACCAGTGGGGTCCCTCGGCCTGGCCCGCACCCTTTTGCAATCTGCGACCACTTGGGAGATGTAGTAGTGTGTGAAGTGGCAGGCAGCCAGGGAGGAGCCTGATCCCAGGCTGGGCAACGCTCCGCTCCTGCTTATCCTGACCCCACCACACCTGCCACCACCGGCTCAGGCATGCAGGGGGAGTGTCCACAGGAGAGGCTATTGCCTGTCGCAGCTGCGCTTGCCACACATGAGCCTGGCATCTGGCGCCCATATGTCAGCTGAGCAGCACTCCTGCTGTGGGAGTGCACTGACCGCCAGGGGGCAGTTCCTGTATTGAGCGTTTGCCCCCTGGTGGTCAGTGTGCATCATAGCTACCAGCTGGTAGTCTAGTCATCTGGTCATCCAATCACTTAAGCTTTTACATCTATATGTGTCAATTAAGAGTTCTTGTCAGAAAATTCGTTTTCCTCTTAAATTAACTCTGTTAGAGTTCTTATTTCTCAGTGTGAAAGCCGTATCCATTTCATTTCTTTAAGTTTGTGAATTGTAAATTGAAGATGAGAAAATCCTAAGCAGTGTGTCTTTTCTTTTCCTGCAGCGTTTGTCCAATGGTTCTATAGATTCAACTGATGAAACTAGTCAAATAGTCGAACTACAAGAATTGCTTGAAAAGCAAAACTATGAAATGGCCCAAATGAAAGAACGTTTAGCAGCACTTTCTTCCCGAGTGGGAGAGGTGGAACAAGAAGCAGAGACAGCAAGAAAGGATCTCATTAAAACGGAAGAAATGAATACTAAATATCAAAGGGACATCAGGGAGGTGAGTGATTAATAACGCTTTCAGCCTTTACTTCCTGAATGCTATCTCTGAGATGCCATTTTTCCATAATATCCCCTGTGGTAATACTCTTTTCATCTTAAAAGACCATAATCTGGGATGTATTGTGTTAGTTATGAAACTTGTTCAATAAGGCAAATATTTACTTCATCATCCCTTTGAATATGTGTGGAAAGGAATTTTGATATCAAGTCTCAACTATAATTAAAAAATTACAGTTTTTAAAGATTTTTTAAAAATTGTGGAGCTGTTCATTTTAAACCACCCTTGATATGAATATGTATAGTGAATTGTTATGCTCTTAAGATATGGGACTACTCAAAAACATTTTAAAATGTCCCCTCTCATTTTTGGATTTGTGTCTATGAATGTGAATGTGTATGCTTGTATGTACTAACTTTCCTTTTTCTATACAATTCAGTTCTTGCTAGACTTAACATCATGTTATCTACTCGGTAAAGAGAGTACTGGAAAGTTACTACAAAAGACACAATGATATGGTTTATTTGTAACATTGCCAAATCATCTTACTAGCTAAGGTGAAAAGTTTAGAAGTTTTTCACTTTCTCACTTTATTCAATTAAAGATGATATTTATGGAAATTTTATTTTGTGACTTACCATTTTCACTTTTACATATTCATTTAAATCATCTATTTTAGACATTTTATATCTTTTGTATATACTAAACTATTTTTATTGAAGTTTAACCTACTCTGTGTAGCCAGTTCTTTTCTTCCCATTTTATCTTCAGTTTATTTTACTCATACTTTTGCCTACACTGTCCTATCCAAACTGTTCTTACCCGCATTGTTCTTGACCTCCCTGTTGCTGAATCTAGGGACCACTTCTCAGTTCTCTGAAGCACTTGATCCAGTTCTCACTCCCTGGGGCACTTTTTCACTCGGCGAATAACACACTGCCCTCACCTGATTTTCCTTCAGCCGCCTTTACTGGCTCAGCTTCCTGCCCCATCATGGGTCATCCTTTCTCAATCTACCTTTATTCCCCGAGTAAGGGCATGCATTCTCATGGCTCCGAAAACCACCTAGTGACTTATGACTCCCAATTTATATCTCCAGCTTACCCTTCTCTACTGATTTCCTGATGCCTGTGTCTAAATGTCCACTGGGTCTCTCAAAATTAGATTTCTCAATATTGTTTTCCTGGTATTCCCCTAGGAAGCCAGGCTTAGTCGAAGTCCTACGCATCTGAAGGAATGGCAACCCTATTATTGTTGCTCAGGCTAAAATCCTTGGAGCTGCCCTTGGTACCTCTCCTATTTATATTGCAAAGTCCTTGTAGTACCTACAAGCTATAGGTATTGTCTGACCTCTTAGAATTCATCTTTTAATCTTTCATTTTGTCCCTATCTGTTCAGTTAAGGGGGCCTCTTAAACAAGCCATGCCTATTCTTTTACGTCTTCTTTTCCCTCTGCTTTTTGCTCGAATGTTTTCTCAGTGAAGTGTTCCCTATCCATGCTATTTACACGTACACACCCTCCCTCTTCTCTCATTTTTAGTCACACAGCATTACTGCACCTGAAACAATTCATATTTTACTGATTTATTTGTTTATCATATGCCTTTCAACTAGACATAAAAATTTATAAGGGATGTAATTTTTTGTTTTGTCTTGTTTTGTTTACTGCTCCATTTGAGTCGCTTGCATAACTATTGAGCATAGAATAGACACTCAGTCCTACACGTCTGAACTGATGGCAACCCTATTATTGTTGCTCAGGCTAAAATCCTTGGAGCTGCCCTTGGTACCTCTCCTATTTATGTTGCAAAGTCCTTTCAGTACCTACAAGCTATAGGTACTGTCTGACCTCTTAGAACTCATCTTTTAATCTTTCATTTTATCCCTATCTGTTCAGTTAAGGGGGCCTCTTAAACAAGCCATGCCTATTCTTTTACGTCTTCTTTTCCCTCTGCTTTTTGCTCGAATGTTTTCTCAGTGAAGTGTTCCCTATCCATGCTATTTACACGTACACACCCTCCCTCTTCTCTCATTTTTAGTCACACAGCATTACTGCACCTGAAACAATTCATATTTTACTGATTTATTTGTTTATCATATGCCTTTCAACTAGACATAAAAATTTATAAGGGATGTAATCTTTTGTTTTGTCTTGTTTTGTTTACTGCTCCATGTGAATCACTTGAGTAACTATTGAGCATAGAATAGACACTCAAGCATCTTTATTGGGACAATGAATATTTATAGATTTTTGATGTCAACATCAAAAGGCATGGATGAGATTAGAGTAAGTCCTAAACCAATGTCTATTCTCTCAGAAGATGCATGATCCAGGAAGTGGTAGGTTGCTCTACCACTGCACCAATAAAGATACTGTGCTCTCTATACCCTTATATGAATTAACAGTCTATAAATATGTCTCTTATCTTAACTCCTTCTCACAACCCAAACTCGCAAAATTTATAAAGGAAATAAATTTAACCTCTCCTCTATATCACTGATAAGGAATACTGGGATTTCTGGCCAATAAACGACCAAGGAAATTTCTTGAGCTTTTGCTCATTCTGTATTTGTTGATTTTCTTAGTCCTGGATATTTAGCTGTTTTCCTTTCATTTAATGCTCATTTATTTTATTCACACTTATTTAACCCAGTGTCCCAGGTGGAGCCCAGTATCACCAGTTTCCCCTTTCTTACTGCCGATGTAAAATAGTTCCTTGATTCTAAGAGTCTTTGAATGTAGGTGACAAAAAAATTTCCATCACCTGGTGCCAGGTGTTCTTTTATTGGGAAACCCTTCTCTTGTGTAAGCTCTTCTGCCTTTAGATGAATTATTTTAAAATATAACTCTTCTTATCAGCTCTATCATTTCTATGTAGTTGTACTTTAGAAGAGTTTCATAAGAAAGGAATGTCTGTCATTATTCACCTTGGAAGGGAAGTTGCAAACACTAATGCTTTCAGAGCCTGACAGGCAGTGTAAATGTATGAAGTACCAGGTACAGGATAGTAAGTGATAGAGTTAATGAAACCTGGACAAGGAGCCTACACTCTGCCCGACTTCCTGCATGCATCACGTGTGTGTGTGTGTGTGTGAAAGACACTGTGAAGGTCAAGTAAAATATTATCAGAAAGATTCATGTCATAGGCCACAGGCTCCTGGTTTGTTACTCTGAATTTCTTGAGGACCAACCAGGAAAACGATTTTAGGTGCATTAGATCTATGCAATAGAGAAGGTACTTGTCATTACCCCACTTTTCTCAGGTGAATAATCTAAGGTTTTAGTGAGATGAAGTGACTTGTCCAAGGCCTATGCACTGACCTCCCCACTCCCTCAGGCCCCAGAACCAGGAAGACATAGGACAAGCCTGACTTCAAAACCTGTGGTTCTGACACTTTGATCAGCTTTCGAAATCAGTGAGATGCAGGCATCACTTCAGTGGTAGAAACTGTCCTAAAAATGCAGTTACAATATAACGGCCCCCTAAATGATCAATCCCAATAAGCATGGAGATACACAAAGCACATACTTAAAAAGGTATCATTTACTCACACTCATAGCCCCAGACTTAGCTTTTATTTTCCTGAATAATAATGCATTCTTGGATTGTGGTCACACAAAATCTACTAGATTGCAAATATTTTAGTAGAAAGAAATTAAGGTGATTTATCTCGCTACCTCTGCTAGCACAGTATGATTTACATATTGAGAAAACAATAAATGGTTATTGAATTAAGAAAAAATTCTATAATAAGAAAAACGAACCATATAATTAAAACTGAAGTGTATTTTGCTTTGCATGTGAGAACAATCAAATATATCTGAAATGAATTATTTTAGTATGCTTCATTAATGCTTTCAAATATAGTTTTGTAATTCTCCTTTGTCAAGAAATAAGTCTATCTAATTTTATTTTGATTTGAAGTTTAGTTTTAGTTGCTTAACAAATTGATTGTGACCTACTAGAGTAGGGGGACTGGATCAAGGCATAGCGCACATTTGGAAAGCCCAGACTGCATTGTCCTTCGTGTTGGGAAAGTGTTCTTAAGAGCAGCTATTATTGGATATCTTCAGGTGTTTGATACAAAAGTACAGTCTGGAAGTTCAGCTAAAACCTATTTTTCCTGCAATGTTTGAAAATACAATGGTCAGAACAAATCAAGAAATCTACTAATATGCGAAAGAGTAGGGAAGTTATCTGTTAAAGCCTTAGTTTTAGAAAGTAAAAAACAGGAAAAAAAAGTAAACATAAACAATCTCATAACAGAAGTTTAGTGCTCCACTTTTTAATCAGAGGGCTACTAAGCAGGCATTGAATATAATATCACATTAAAGATGTTGATATGCAAAGAGTTAGAATTTTTTGTGAAGTCTTTAAATTATATTTTATTTTACAAATAAAATCAGCTTATCTTTCCAACTTATAAAAGCTCTTCAAAAGGTTGCTAAGTGATTAAATAAATTTTGTATTTTCTATTATCTGAAATATGGAATTGTATTCTTCACTTTACTAGATTTATGGAGTTATATTTATTTGATATAATAAAATTCAGTTTATAAATAAACTTCAGGTCAAGAGATAATTGAAACTTTCATCTGTTTTTCTCCTTTTTTAGATAGCGTTTTCAGGGATGAAGAAAAGCTTTCTTTTTTAGAAATTCCAAGTGACACACAGGGAAAAGATATTTCTTGAACTTGAAAATTCAAAATTTATTTTTGTCAACACAGCCTACAGCTAAAAATTGAATCTCCCACATGAATCATTGGCCCAAAATGTAAAACCAAAGTCACATACCATGATTCCTGCATTTAATGTGTGGCACAGCCATATCAGTTAATTGTAGGCATTATACCAATTAATAATAAAAGTTAGGTATTATTTATTAAGTGTGTTTTCTTCATGAGACACCATGCAAAGTATTTCAACATCACAGCAAACATACTACAACAATGTTATGTGGTAAGTGCCAATATCTCCCCTCCCCAAAAAAAGGGAGGTTAAGCAATATTGCAATATTTACCTGATAACAAAGGTAATATGCATCAAAAACTAGGATTGGCAGCAAGTTTGTACTACTCTAGGATCCGTGTTCTGAAGAAACATATCTATGCCTTTTACTGAATTTATTGCCATTAAATTTGGTGCAAATTTTATAGGTGCACTCTAGTTTCAGAATTTTCTCTTTGAGCTAAAATATTAGCAAGATATCCCAAAGTTCTGGATGAAAATGAAATTAACAGGATGCAATATTCTATGTGCTCCGAAGAGATACTCTGCCATCATTGGACTAAAATTATATAAAAATAGTCAAAATTTAAAATAAAAGTTTTGTAAATAGTCACTGTTGTTTGGGATGGCTAAAATCTAGGGTTGTGTACCTAATGTCAAAAAATATAATCTGGATTTTTTTTTTGCCAAATTGATGGATTACTTGGATTTTATACATTTGAACTTAATATTCACATAATTAAACAAGCAGCCTTTAATTGGGCCTTGAAGGTCAGCAGAACTGAGCTAGGCAAAGAAGTCAACAAAAATGAGTTACAGGTGGAAATGAAATCACAGAGTTTATTAGTTTCCTGAGGCTGTGGTAACAATTACCATAAACTGGGTGGCTTAAAGCAACAGTAATTCATTCTCTCACAGTTTTGGAGGCTATAAGTTCAATATCAGTAGGGCCATGTTACCTCTGAAGGCTCTATCTAGAGAAGAATCTTGACTTGCCACTTCTAGCCTGGTGGTTGCTGAGATTCCTTGGTGTTCTTAGCTGGTAACAGTGTAACTACAATCTCTGCCTCCTTCTGAAGACTGCCCTTTTCTCTGTATGTCTCTGCGTCCCCAGATCTCCCTCTTCTTATTAGAACACAAGTCATTGGATTTAAGGCCCACATGAATGCTGCATGACTTCATCTTAACTTCATTGCTTCCGCAAAACCTTATTTACAAATAACATCAAATTCACAGGTCTTGGTGGACATGAATTTAGGGGGGCTAATGAGGGGAACATGATTCATTCCAGTACATAGATCCAGCTAGAGATGTGTCAGGTCATAAAGCTACTTCTTTTCTAGACTTTGTAGCTCAGATTTTACATAAAAGATGGAGTAGAATGTGCTCACATTGGCATTTAGAAATGTCTCTTGGTCAGTAGGGGTGGAGAATCAGTAAGCAGGAAAAAAATACCAATAGCAAGATGACAGGTTAAGCTACTAAAGTGAGAATATTATGCTCAGTGAATAAGCCAATCAGAGAAAGATAAATATTATATGATCTCACTTATATGTGGAATCTAAGGAACAAAAAAACTGATGAACAGAATATATCCAGAGACATTGGAGCAAATAAAAAAACTGAAAAACTCAAAAGGAAAAGGGGGTTGGGAGGATGGTGGGAAGAGCCTAACCAAAGA